AAAAGAGAACTATCAATGAATTGTGAAAGAGAGGATGTGACAGGTGGGTGTGGCAGGGGGGGGGGCTGATTTTCTATTCAATAGCTCTGTAACCAAACAAAATTGAATACTATAAAAATTATGGTTTGTCTGAGCAATAACGATTTTATAGAGAGTAACTTGCATTTAATTTCATACATTTCCGAGGGGTGATGGATAAAATAGGGATGGTGATATGCTGAGATAAAATGTGTCATGTGAGTCACACTATTGGAAATTCAGGATCTTTTTATATTCCCTTGTAGAATTAATAACTTAAAACTTGTATACTATTAAAATATAGATTATTAGCTAAGATTTTATGCTATTCTAATTGGTAGAACATAAACAAAAAGTATTATAATAAAATTTTGAATGTAAGACACTAAAACCTTGTGTCATGCTCATTATAGGATACCCAGGGTGATAGGGTTAATAGGTAAAAAAAAGAACAGTCCCAAGACCTAGGCATTCCGTTTCAGGCATTTTCTCCAACTGACTCAATGGTGGCTGGAGTCACTTTATCTGTTCATGGACCTCGCATTCAGTTGTTATCCCTTCACTAAACAGAGCACATACCTGCATGTGTCGTGTCTCAGATTCCATTCTGTGGATAGGTGCTTTTGATGTTGTGGATAACTTAGCTTTCTTTACTGGGTGTGGTGAACCATGGTGTACCATCGAGTTTACTGATGATGTTCACCCTTTCATGCATCAGGTGGTTGGTTCCCTTCTACCAGTTTCTTCTCCAGTTCAGATACCTAGTAATTTTCTTCTTTGCCATCTGTGAAAATTGCCTTGCCTATTGACAATTTTGGCCAGCTCTTCCATCACCAGCCTTTTTTTTTTTTCTGATTCTGTTCTCCCTAATGAGAACCCCTGAGGTGAATTCCTGTACATGGTGAGGGGACCTCCTAAGGAAGGTTCTTTATTTCCAGTTTATCTCCTCTGAGATCTGAACATCCACCCACATGTTTGCTGTGTGTGTTGTGACCTGTGAAGGGGAGGAGAGGATCTTGGTGGTTGAGTGGTGTCTGGGGCACTGCAACACACCATTTTGGCCTTAAATTCTTATAGACAGTTGACCTCCCCAGGGTCAATTGGCTGGTCCTGTTGGGCTAGGGTCAACTGAGTACCAGTGTTGGGCATTATCAATGGATGTTGTGGACATTGTGTTTGATGCTGGTGTTTGGGAATGCTGCTCTTGAAGCCCTGGCATTGCTGCAGTGTCCTTGTTTGACATCGTAGTGCAACCTCTTGTAGGACTGAACCATTCTCCTTTTATTATGGATCCTCTAAATCCTCAAAAAAATAAAATAGTAAAAACTCAGCTCATTGGTAAATGACCATGCCTTGCAGACTCTGATCTTCAATTCATTTTGCTCCTGTACCTTGTTTTTTTATTTTGCATTCCTTGTCAGAAAAACCTTTAGGACAAATGTCTCCTTCTTTTATATTCAGGAGGGATGAGAGGGACTTGCTGGCTCTCCAAAGTCAGTTAAGAAGCTACATTCTGGGGACATCTTGGTGGAAACATCTACAACAAAACACTGTAAACTCCTCCTGAACTCAAAGGCCATTGGGGATATACCCATTGAGGTTACTCCCCATGCTACTTTGAATTCCTCACAAGGAGTTATTGTTGAGAGGGATTTGAAGAACATCCCTAAGTTAGAGATCCTTGATGGTTTATTCTGCCAAGGAGTTTCTGCAGTGTGACATTTCTCTACTCATAAAGATGGAACTATGCTGCCTACCATTTTGACGTTTACATCTCCACGTCTGCCTGCCTCTCTCAAGGCAGGTTATCTTCATTGTAAGGTCATATATTCCTAACCCTCTGGTGTTTTCAGTGTCAGCGGTTTGGTCATTCAAAGGCATCTTGTCATAGTTATGTGACATTTGCTCATTGTGGTGGCAAAAACCATGATGCCTACAAGTTTCAACTAGACCCTCATTGCATTAATTGTAATGGTTCCAATCCCTCTTACTTTCATTCTTTTTCCAAGTGGGTGGAAGAGAATGAGGTACAGCATTTAAAAACTGTTAACGTTTCTTACCCTGAAGCTCAGAAGTTATTTTCCCTACTCCATCTCGGACATATGCTGCTGCACTATGCTCCACTACTACAGTGGGAGTGCAGAAGGACCTTTCTGTGCCTCCATCAGAGTATTTTTTGCATCATGTGCAGAGTCTTTTGCCCTCAATAGGATAACCGAGTTGACAAGTCAATGTCTACTCCTATCTCTGTCTCCACCATTCCTTCTATTGACTGCCTGGGTCCACCTCCTTTGGCCCCAGTTTATGGTGTCTGCTTGGGTCCATCGTATTTCGCTCCGAGATGCAGAATGATTATTTGTTCGTGCCCTCAGTTGCTGGAATCTAAATCTAATGACAGAGATCTGCCTGCTCGACCAAGGGCAGGATCCTAGAAGGTCTACAGAGCTTTTTCTAGCAATGAAAAATGGTGTGGTCATAAACAAAGGTTCTCCGCCCAGTTCTCTTCCACCTAAGTAAACATGGAAACTTTGATTCAGTGGAACTGTCGAGGTTTTTGTTCTAATCTGGATGACATCAAGGCCTTGATTTATTCCTATCATGCCATGTGTCTTTCCTTACAGAAAACATTCCTGAAACCTGCCGTTCCTGTCACCTTTTGGTAGTTTTCTCTATACCAGAATGACGGGTTGTATGATGGAACAGTTGCCATCTCCCTTTTTAATCCTGGGAGACTTTAATGGACACAATCCCCCTCTCGGGTGGTGCTGATATTGATGGGAGGGGTCATTCCCTATGCTCTCAGATCACAACCTTTCTCTCTTCAATACTGGTTCTTATACTTATTTTCATGCACCTAG